GTAAGGGCAACAACTTTCAGTATTTGAAGATGTTTCATCTTATCAGGTGTGCCAATCTTGATAACCTTTTAAAGAGGGAGTGGAGAGAGAAGATGGAAATATGAAAGAAGATGATACTGGCTAATTTTCACGCATGCTCCATAAAAGCATTGGAAAACCACAACTCTGCCTGTCTCATTTCAACTCAATCTTCCACCTCTTAAGCTGCAGTGACTAATGAGAGATGCAAATAACAGCTAATGTTTTGAGTGGTCCTTGCCCTTTTGAAACCCATTTGAAGACTGGTCATTTTTTTCTCTGTTGGATGCTTAGAAAATTTTCAGAAAAACAAGTCAGGCAGAGTGGTGAAACCTATGTGTGCACACATTCCCTCTGGCCCGGTGTTTCCAGTTCAGTGGGCCAACTCTCACTTGTCATATTGAATCCTTTATTACAACAAAATATTATTTTAAAGCTGCACTAACAGTAATTAGAAGCAATTGAGTTTTATCAACTAACACAAACTGTGGGATTTTGAACTTGGATCTTAGCTGGTATTTTAATGAAGTGTGTGTTAACAACCCCAAATCTTCTGTCAGTCCAGCAGCTGAGTTGCATATACAGACCTTTGATGGAGGGACCATGTGTTAACGCTCAGAGGCGTCAGGCTCATGTGTTGGCTCTGCACATCCACACTTTACAAATCTGTCTCCCAGGCCTGTTTTATTTTTCTCCTTCTCCTAATGAATATTCTGATAGTCCCCACATTTGTTCTTATAAAATTTTGGAATTAAACATGATTGTTCCCATGTGCACATTTTAATCATAGATATTTAGATGTGAGTAATGATGACTTAAATGTTCTCTTTGCTTGACTCTTTCATTTCAGCCTGAGATGCTAAAAGGACACATGGTCTGGAGTGTTAGAACTTACTTAGTGAGAAGTAGAAGGTTGAGATAGGAAAAGAATGAAAGAAAGAAGGAGAAGGATGCTCCCTAATTTGAAATGAGCACTTTTAGTGAAATAAATATCTGGAAGAAGCAGAGTGGCTTCCCTTTCTTAAAGAGAACTTTCTAACCTTGGCCAAAGGCCTTTTCAGTAGAAAATTTTCAAAGAATAACCTGAGATTTACTAAAAGTCTCACATAACAAAAGCCAAGGTTGTATGAATCATCATGGCAGAGCTGAGCCTTTTAAAAGATATAAGGAATGCTCCTATCAGGACACAACCTAGAACAGGGAAAAATGGATCATAAACTTTGCAGACAGATCATACCTAATATGCATACAATACAAAATAAAGCCTAGTACTTTTAACTTTCTTTCAACCATTCCTATCCTGGCCAATGCCAGAAAATGTATGGAGATAGGAGATGCCATTTACCTAAAGAAGATAATGCAGTTGTCCGTTTTCTGATGGGTTTGATATAAGCAAGGGCTTCCTGGGTGCTCACAGGAACCTGCTCAGCACTTACGCTTACATGACCTGTAAGTCTGAGGGAGTTAATACCTGTGAGGCCTCCTTTGACCTGCAAGAGACGGGAACTGATGGATACATGCTTCCCCATCTGGGCTGACACATTGGACACACAATCTTATTAGAGTCCTCAGATGGGGGTGCCCAAGTGGCTCAGTTGGTTGAGCATCCGACTTCGGCTCATGTCATGATCTCGCAATTCATGGGTTGAAACCCCACATTGGCTCACTGCTGTCAGTGCGGAGCTCACTTCAGATCATCTGTCCCGCTCTCTTTGCCTCTCCTCTGCTTGCACTCTCTCAAAAATAAATGAACATAAAAAAGAATCCTCAGATGGTCCCATGGAATTGAGAATCAGTAGGCTATAGCAGTGGCCAATACAAAAACCACATCCCTGTGTGGACTTTTCTTCCTTCCCTGTCCCTTCATCCTAATATACCTGACTCTGGAATCACATTCTTAATAAATTGCCTGTCTCAGGCATGACTTTCAGAGAACCTCAGGCTTAGACAGTTGGTACTGGGAGAGTTCCCAGAATGTATATTCTTTGGATGGGATTTTTAAGCTGGATCCCTCACTAGTCAGACTGTAGAAAAACCCATTGCTAATTTTAAGTGAGTGATGATAACATGTTGTAGCATCATAATTGCTCAGATTATGATGCTACCTATAGTGAATTGAGATGAGGTGCCGGTTTATTTAAGGCTGTGGCACCTGAGTGTTATGGAGGCTATGGTAACAATAAGAGTTGTGTAATTTTATGGTTGCCATTTGTTAACTCCTTTAAAAGCTTCAAAAAGAGAAAAGATCAGGTATGATATGAAAATCAGAAGGCCTCTATGGCTAGTGATTAGGAGGCCCTTGTCTCCTTCAGCCACTGAAAATCAGATCCAGGATCTACTTGTAAGGGTAGCTGAACAGCAAAGGATACTGAATGCACAGCCTTGACAAATCTTATATGACAAAGTCAGGGCCTTATAATAGAAGAGTGGGATCTTGAGCCCTGATCTGGGGATATTTGGGTAGATAAGCCTGAATATCTTAACTCCCCAGGTTCCTTATCTCCTTTAGTCTGGCAGACACAGCCCCCTCTCCTCTCACAAGAAGATACCAGCCTCCCCTTGCCTGGAGACCCTGCAAAGACCTCATCTGAGGCGGGTGTCTCACAAGATGCCATTGCCCTGCTCATGATCTGCCCTTGTCTTCCTTCATTGCCTCTAGACCAAGAAAGAATGTTCGGTTTTTGCATAGCTCCAACAGTAAAGTACTGTTCCTAGTCTATGAGGAAATGGTTGAAACACCAAAGACCTTCCCATCCTGGCTAATATTCATGAACTTGAATAACATCATGTTGGATGGGGGTGGTGGGAAATAGAGTCTATAGCTAGAAAGAGGAAAATGTATTGACATGGGAGCACTCACCCATGACTTGAGGTTCAGGGTACTGACAAGAACACCTAGAATTGGTCCTACTATGACCCTTGATACTTGGACATGCTGATGAGGTAGGACCGCAGACCACATTGGCAAGGTGTTACAGGAGGAGTAAGAGGCCCATGAAGGTGGGAGTATTGGAATGGATTGATGTGTGAGAACAGAGACTCTACCACCCCATTTTGGTTTCTGGGAGGCCATGGAAGACACTACTTTCACTGAAGCAGTATGGAATTCACTGGTGAGAGACCTCCAGTATCTTTGAGAGGCTCAGTGGTAGCTTCGTTTGCAGCCTGCATGAACCGTGAAATGGAGCTCCCTGGAACACAGAAGGCATGTGATAACATTTAATCACCTAAGCATAGCTAATTATTTTAATGGGTAGTAAGGCCAGAGTGGCTAGCAGGATACCAGAGCCCAAAGATCTGTGATGATAGCTAGTTGATCTGGCAGATAAACAGATGCCAGGGTATCAATGGGCTTATAAATCAAAACTAATTGATAACTGGTGATCAAAATCCTGACATCAGTCATTACAATGGAAAATTTCAGACCTTACCATTTCTAGACCATGGACCATGCATATTTACACTCTGGGAGGCCTTTTGGCAGCTAGCTGTCTTCTCTTGGTGTTATCCATCTGCAGCTTTTTCCCTTTAAAAATGGAAAATAATGAAGGGGAGATGCTTTTCTTGGGCTCTAATAGATTGGGTCAAATACAGGATACCCCTAGTACCTGAGTAGATTGAAAAGTAAACCAGCATCAATATCAACTGGGAGTTTATTAGAAATACAAACTCTGCATTTTAACAAGGAACCCCAAATTTAGCAAGTAATGATATAATATTTTAACCTATATAAGCAAAGTTTTAAAAGAATGATTCCCATTATAGGTAAGGCCTTGGCAAGGTGGCTACTTATGTATTGCCAGTGGGGCATGGAGGAATTTTATGGTATATATTAAGATCATATGTACATTCAAATCTTTTGTCCTTAATTTCATATCTAGGAATCTTTCTTAAGGCAATTCTCTGAAATGTGAACAATAATTCTTATGCCCAAGTCATCATCATTGGTAACTTTTATTGAGTGCTTACTGTGTATCAGGCAGTGTGCTAAACTCTTACAATGGATTATTTAAGTCAATGTTCACAGCAATATAATTTTGTAGATATTTTTATTATATTATTTACAAATGAGAAAACTGAGGCTCAGAAGATTTTATTTGTTTCCCAAATTTACAGAAGTTACCACACGTTTCCTTAAGATGTTAAAAAGATTGTCCAATGTTTATAGCAGCACTTTCAACAATAGCCAAATTATGGAAAGACCCTAAATGTCCATCAACTGATGAATGGATAAAGAAATTGTGGTTTATATACACAATGGAATACTATGTGGTAATGAGAAAGAATGAAATATGGCCTTTTGTAGCAACGTGGATGGAACTGGAGAGTATTATGCTAAGTGAAATAAGTCTTACAGAGAAAGACAGATACCATATGTTTTCACTCTTAAGTGGATCCTGAGAAACCTAACAGAAGACTATGGAGGAGGGGAAGGGAAAGAAGTTAGAGAGGGAGGGAGGCAAACCATAAGAGACTCTTAAAAACTGAGAACAAACTGAGGGTTGATGGAGGGTGGGAGGGACGGGGTGTGTGTGTGATGGGTATTGAGGAGGGCACCTGTTGGGATGAGCACTGGGTGTTGTATGAAAACCAATTTGACAATAAATTTCATATTAAGAAAAAGATGTTAAAAAGATTGTCTTCTACATAAACAGTGAAATATTATGCAGCCATTTAAAATAATATTTATAAAGAGCTTTGATATAAGTCTAAGTAAAAAACGCAAAATGAAATGTTTTCAAATATGTAACAAGTGCAAAGAAAAAATACTGGGAGAATATATTACATGTTATTAAGAGGTATTCCAGGTGGTGGGATTTAAGTGACTTTTTTCTGTACTTTTAATTTTTTTACTTCAAGCTTGCATCTTTTTATAAGAAAAAAACCACTTTTTATATGTCAGCTAGACATAGTTGTTTTTTTTTCAGGGATACTGGTCTAGAGATTACAGAAAGCAGGCATGCCACCACTTACAAGGAAGACGTGCAGGATATTGAATTCATATCCTGAACTACTGTTGACCAGACAAACCAAAGCTCATGCCCTGAGAATGGTGGGCTGTCCAGAACATGGAGCTAGTTACCTGCTCACTATGACTAATCATTAAAGGTTATTATATACCTTCTTTCTCTATTATATATATATATATGTATATATACATATACATATACATGTATATGTATATATACATATATACATATATATATTTAATTCATGCACAAGTCATCTTCATTGAGAACTTATTGAGAGCCGACTATATAACAAGCAATGTACTATACTCTCTAGATAGAAAGATATATATATATATTATATATTACATATATAATATATATAAATCCTTCATAACTTTGAAATTACTCATACCAGTTTCTGACCTCACTGATTTTTCAAAAGCTTCTAAAAGTCTCTTCCTTCCTCCCCTCCTTTCCTTCCTTCCTTCTTTCCTTCCTTCCTTCCAGTGAAATTCTCTCATAACAAAAACTTTTACTCACCAAATTGCATCATTCAGCTAAGACAAAACTTAAAAAAATTGTGGCAGATAAAGGGCCCTTTGGAGAAAATAACTCTGACTAAAATAAAGAGAACAGAAGTATCATGTGAATGTGATCTATTGGATTTCAGCACCATTTCAAGCTGATATTATTTAAGTAAGATGCCTTTTTTTTTCCTGTTCCCAGTAAAATTATCATAGCCTTTCATGGAGCACTTCAGAGGCCGTTAACTTCTCCCTCATTTACACACAGCTTCTCTCTCTTTCTGTCTTATTTTGCATCACTTAACCCAGTGGAGTGTTTTCAGACAAAGGCTGCCTAAAAGCTGAGACCCGCATTGTGGCTCTGTGGCATTCATGGTCAGTATTGTTTTTGAAGACCATCTGCCTGTCATTTGTTTGCTGATTGAGTTAGTGCACCTAATAATATTTTTTTTTATTGGGCTCTGCTAGCCAATGAAAAGGAAATTATACACTCAACAGATGGGTCACAAACCTTTCTACCTTAGTGCAGCTACTCCTCGAGTTAGTTAAAAGCAATCACGAAAGCAGATTATAAATGGAATAATAGGCTTTTTATAAATGGTTTCACAGTGGTTATGGTTGTGGTGCCAAACATGATGGTATCGGGGTTTCCCCTCTTTGTTGTATAGGTTCTCCTTGTAAGAATACTCTAAGCAATGAGGGATATGGAAATGAAAAGAAGGAAACCGGCTGAGGGTCCATAAGGACCAGAATGCAGAAGATCATATATAAAGGGAGTATGCAGCATCATATTAGTTTGATATGTGTTATCCAGAACAAACTGCAGTCTTTGCCAGAAAGCCTTGGTGCTGTCACTCTGATTTTACCTTGTGGCTAAAGGTAGGGGCAGAAAAGTTTATCCCCAAAGAACTCCCAAATACTATACAGGCGGAATAATGGAGGTAGAGGGTCGTTAGCACTGGACCTCATGTAAATAAATAACAAAACCCAAATCTCCTTTCCATTTTTTTTTGAAGACTGATAACTTGCTGTCCTTGGAAACTCTTTCTCGTGACCTTACATCATGAAAATTCACCTTGCCTTAAAGAGGAAGTGAACCCCCCTGACCAGGATGCTATTAAATCAATTGGAGGTATGTTCAAAAAACATGAGAGCAAATCTCTTCTGAAAGAATCATCATGCAAAGGATTATTCCGTTTGCCTCTAAACAATGGAATTGCATCTCCTACCGGGGAACATAAACTACAGTGACAGACTTTTCAGTTTTTCGGGCATAGACTTAATTTTTGAACATTTGTCATATGTGAGAAAGCATGTATCATAAAGATCTGGCTTATCCTGCTTTGGAAACAGATTTTGCTTTCATGAGTCAAAAACCCCGGAGAGCACAGTACCCACTTTGTGAATCACTCTTATAATTGTGCATGTGAATTACTAGCTCATTTTTCCCCTCATAGTATTTGGACCCTTGCCTCATCCTAACTTCAAACTTCGGATGGATTTTTTGCAACATGCTTGCTTTGATTTTAGTATAAGGACACTATGTGTATTAGTGAGGGTGGTGGAGTGGAAGTGATGGCAGTGTGGATGTGGATGAGGGAACACTTGGGAGAGGTGGGATTCCTGGTACCATGGATGGGAAGGAGGAGGGCCAGGAGTTGCTGCGAACCTCCCATCATTCAAAATCAATGGTTTTTTACATTTTGCCAATTGATGAACATCAACAAAATACTTTAATACTACTCCGTCTTCCTTCAGCATTCTGAACCTGAATGTTAGTGATTTCCCAGAGTTTATCTGATAGGAAAGCTTTCAAGGAGTTTGTTTCTTTCTTTGTGGATTGCTGGGGAGTTCTGGAAGATGCCACCATAATGGCAACCTGGGGGGTAGGGAAGGAGTGAGGCCAGGGGCCAGTTTCCTGTGATTCTTGGTCACTCTCATTCTCTGCGTCTAGTAGGTTCTAGTGTAGCTGGATGTTTGCTCAGATGCTGCCTCACTGGAAGAGGTGCAGTCCCTCACATTAACCTCAAGAGGATCCCTCCCCACTTCTATACATCTTTCTGCAGCTCACAGATGCTTGAACCCTTATAATAGAGCAATTCTCTTGTCAGTTTTGTCTTATGTTAAAATGCATGATTCTAGGAGTGTTTTCACCTGTAACCTCATCAGTCATTTGTGCTTAGATGTGAGTGACTTTTTGGACATATCAGAATTTTATGAGAGGTATATATGATTTCACTAGCACACTGGAAACCTAAGACAATGGGAGATAGCCTTCAGAAGTGGAGCAAGCAATGAACTAGGAATGAGAAAGTGCTAAGAGTGAGCAGACAACTTTAAAGCCTGCTTTCCCCTTCTCATTATGACCTGAAAGGGATTTTAACTACAATCCATCACTTTTTAGGGCCTATTGGCAAGTCAGCCCAGAGGAACATTTTGACCATGATCACTTAAAATCCCTGAAGCCTTACTGAATTGGTTATGACTTTCTTCACAAAATCTGCATCCTGACCTATTTACACAGGCTGATGATTCAAAGACAGATGTGTTCAGAAAGCCAACCAAACACAATAAATCCCTGCCTTTTTTGGCTTCTCCCCCAGGTGCCTGCAACCCATCAGATCTGCCCCCTGCCACCTCCCTTTCCAGGCACTTAGCAGTCACCCCATGCATGCCATTTCATTAGGACGCATTGGTCTAGGAAGCCTCTTCTCTCTCCATCTCACACCCAGCTCTCCTTTCAGTTTGATGTTGCAGGGATTTAATTCTGAGCAGGATTTAAATAAAATCAGAATCTTCCTGTGCTGGAGGAGATGTGTTTGCTCGGAAATGGAATTTGTCGGCTGGGTCACTTGGTAGTTAGCCCCATTTGCCCCAATGTTGGGACCCAGGGAAATGATATGCTAACTCCCTCTTCCAAACCATTCACGCACTTTCTAGGGTGAGAAGTTGGGGGACCATGTCAGTAGTAGGAGAGAAGAACAAAGCTGAATTTGATTACTAACCTTAATGCTTTTGGCCTTAAAACATCTCTACTTTTTAGACCATATATATTTTTTAAGTGTTTCAAGTTTACAGTAAAAATTAACAATGCCACCTCTTTTAGTCAGGGTGCATTTGTTTGTAAGGAACCAAGCCCCACACAGAAAGCTTAAGCAAAGATGGGTTTTATTAAAAGGATGTCAGGGAATGTTACAGAAGCTAAGAGCAGGAAATGCAGATAGGACGCTGGAAAGGTGGAAATTGTCAGGCAGCTGCTCAGCAGGTCTTTCCCTCTGCTTTTGTCTGCCATGTCAGTTCTGCCTTCAGGTCTGCAAATCTGCTCTGTAGTAGTCTCTTAATGCTTGCTCCCCATAATTTTGCATTATGCATGATCTTTGCTTTTCTTGCCATACATTCTGGCTCATTTGGACTCTATCCTTGACTCAACCCAGTGCCTAATTTCTGTCAGGTAATTAGTGTCTGCTTTGGAAATGAATAAGTGACTGAATGACTCTCTATGCCCTTTCAGTGCAAGTGCCCATCATCACTTAACGAGATTTTGAGTGTTGTAGTTCAAAATCTTATGAGAGAGAGGATCTGATGAGCTCAGTTTGTCCTATGAGACAGGTGTCCACTCCTGGTCCAATAATCTGTGGGCAAGGAGGGAGACTAACTAGTACAAACATGACTGGTCTTTAACACATGTGATTTTATTTCCTTTTTTATAACAACCATGAGGTAAGTAAGCCTGGAAGCAATTATTTTCCTCCATTTTGAAGAAGATAAAACTGAGGTTCAGATAAATGAGGCCAGTGGTTCCCAACCTTGGGCTTTGGATTCATGTGGAGTATGAGAATATAGAAATAGAAAATCAGAACTTATTTTAAATATTTCAAGAAGCCTAATGGAAATCATACAGTTACCTTCAGTCAAGAATCAAGCTACCTAAGATAATTATAACATCAAATTTGTTGCTTTGTGGCTGCTTAGAATGGTAACATGGTCATCTTGGGCTGTGTGGAATATTCATTTGATTGGGTATATACTCAGTATAGATTCTTTATTACAGAAAAATGAGATAAATATTTAATTTTTGCTTTGCAAATACCATGTATTTGGCAGACTTAATTTTTTCCAAAGATGTGGTCAAGGAATTAAGAATAATAACAAAAGAGATTCTTGGTGGAGAAGAGATGGTCAATGGCAGCGTATGGCTTAACCAGAAGGTTTTCTAATGCCTGGTTGGTTTTCTACTCTATTGCACCATCCCATCAAGGTAGGAACAGTTCCTCTGTCTGCTAAAGGGGAAAAGCATCTCTTACCACATATGTTTCTCTTGATAGGAAGAAGGGGTCACCAAAATACATTCTGTAAATCCAGATCCAATTATTATTGCAGAGATTTTGGTTTACTCAGACATTTTTTTGAAGCTAGTGTTGTAGTCTAAGGATATAGATAATAACCACATTCTTTTAGGAACAAATGACTAAGTTTACTTCACTCAACAACCAGGTAGTGGTAAAGTAAACCACACCCAAACAAAAGAAAAAAAATTTAAATGTCCGTAGAGACATAGTCACAAAATTATCCTCAGCTAACAGCTTCAGACCCAAGAAACCTGGTACCTTTCACAGTCATGATTCAGTTTAAATGTGGGTTTCAAGAGAAAGGCTAAAATAAACAATTAAAAACACACATTAATTTAAGTGACTCTATTTTTCCTCTATATTAGTAGGAGGTACAAAAGTCATAATGAGATGGAAGTCAAAGGATATTAACAAAAATACAAAGGTAAATATGAAAAAGAAGGAATTTTGTTGTTTTTGTCAAAGCATGGCAACAGAGAAGGAAGAAAAGATCTCTCTTGGCCTGAAGCCCTAAAACTAAAAATGAAATTTTTCTTCCTTTTGCAGAAAAAGGAATTCTTATTAACAAGTATAAATGTCGCCTGAATCTGAAGAGCAGCCCACCCATGTTCATCTTTAGTTTGTGACGCTGACGTCAACAGTGGCAGTTGCATGTTAACCCAGTGCCCTTATCAAAACAGAGAAGTATTTATTTATTTATTTATTTATTTATTTATTTATTTAAGTAGGCTCCATGACCAACATGGGACTTGAACTCATGAAATCAAGAGTCAGATGCTCTCCTGACTGAACCAGCCAGGTGCCCCAAAATAGAGGAACACTTCAATCACTCTGTTCCTACTTTTATCTTGGATTATCCCCCATTTCTTAGCTTTTGTGAACTTGAAAAAGCAGGCAGAAATTGAACAAGAGTTATGAGTACCTTTTACAAGATCAAAATGTATTATGTAAATCCTGATTTGGGTTCCCTGTCAAAAAATATCTTTAGGACCCTAAAATTACTCCAATGACATCTACATAGTGTACTTTAACACTAAATGTTTTAAGAGGTTATTGGGGATTTTTGAAAAATCTCAAAACAGTTTTTTGTTTATAATATTGGTATCAACTATTAACAAATAAACATGGTTACTGCCTATCCAGAAAATAGAACATAAACAAAGGTAGTGAATGCATCTTTTGGATGTATGATTATGTTTTTAGTCCCAGCTTAAAATGTATTCAGTATTTTCATTCCCACAAAAGTGAAGGGTTGCAATAAAACCTAAAAACAATTGATGTTTTAAGAAATGAGGCATTGCTGCTAAACTTCCTATTACTAATTTAGCACAGATTTCAAGCTGAAATCAAGACAATATGTTTTCTTCAGCTGTGTTTATGTGACTTCCAGCATCCCTGCTAATTCTGTTTTGGCTTTCATTTAGAAGCCAAAGCTGGCTCAGGGCTAAGTAACTTCATTTACCCACCCTATAAAAGTCAGGTGTTTCAGAATGCATCAAAAAGAACCATAACTGCCTGCATTTATTCAATAAGTATCATTGTATGAATAAACAGATGCTAGATAATAGGATCTTTAGTAATTTAAACCAATTAGCTCTGTTTGCTACACATATCTTATAGAACTCTCCTTTGCAGAAGACAGTTCTTTCTTTACATTTCCTATAAGGCAGAGTGTGTTCAGGTGGCCTGATTAAAAGCATTGAGAGATACTGCAGAAAAAAGTTTTGATTTCTGGATTCTATCTTTATGCAGCTTTTGTAATACACCGTCTTCCTCGAGCAAATAAATGGAAATCTCTTAGTTCCTGGCGACAGTACCTCATGAATGTGATTCAGCATTAGGCAACATAAACATGAGTTCAGATTCTGTCCCCACCCCCACCACTTTATTGTCCTGTGGGAGGCACAGAGGTTTTTTGGAAGAGCCAGGTGGTTATTTTAAAGTTTGTATGACCTAACAGAAAGAACTCTAATTTATTAGTGAGGAGTTGAGTCCATTAGCTATTCTTTTTGAGACTGTATGTATTATTTTGCACACTTGTGTCATGTTTCCTTCAGGTGCAAAACAGGGCTGACAAATATACTTGTCTTATCTCCATCAGATGGAGAGGAGGGGTAAAGCCAGTTTGCCAACAGTTTTCAGTTCAAAACTTCTGTGCATACTCCAGCAATATTAGTGCTTATGATCTGTGTCTGCCTTTGCTTTGACACCTCGAGTTTGGCCTTAGCCTGGAAGGAGAAGGAAACTTAAGTGGAGGCTGGTATTATTTCATGCAGCTGGTTTGCCATTGCCCAGGATCCTCTACTCTCTAATTACTGAAACCGAGGACATATTAATACCTTTAGAGCACAGCAGGGCTTGCAAGGCCAAAACAGTACCCTCTCCAGAACTCACATCCATGCTCAATTTCATTTTTTTTTTCTCTGTACAGAGGAAGGAGATCTATTTATTCATGCCTTGCCTTGAATTGTGCCCTAAAGTAAAAGAAGCTTAGCAGCTTAACAAATCACTAGCCATATTTATGGTTAGAGCTGTCCAAATAGGGGGAAGGTTTCAGTTTGGAAAAGCATCAAGAATTAATGGTCACAAGACAACAGCAGCTATAAAGTCCCCAAATGGATATCCCTTTGGCATGGAGGAGCAGGGGAGTTAGCTGGGGCCGGTCCTACCTGAAGAAAAACAAAAAAACAAAATTCTCAGCGATTCCTAAAAGTGAACATGTGGGGCACAAATCCATCTATGTTTTCAGTTAGTGCAGCCAGCGCCTTAGAAGTCAGGCAACGGGCGGCAACAGATGGAGGGGTTTCTACGGCAGCCAGCCTTTATTTACGTATGAAGGCTCCCTCTTGTGTGAATGTCCACTAGCCATCTCCACTTAAACAATCCCTTTGCAGTGAATGGTTGTACTACACATAACACCTCCTTTGTCTACAAGTCTCCCAAAAGCTATCTGCCTGTCTGCCCTCTGCCTGTGCATTTTTATGGTGACGATCAGCACAATTCTTTGCTCCAGAGACACCCCAACTTGGTTGAAAGGGTGGCCTTTATCCATTGAAAACTAGGTTTTCTTGGGTAAGTGAAAACTAAAGGCAGTCAGAGTGAATTGTTTCAGGCTTTAACAATGAATTCTATTTTTGACTTTAGAAAGTTAGAAATTTTATTTTTAGGACTTGGAAAGTTAAAGTAAGAAAATAAAAAAGGGAAAATACAAAGGATGAAAGAAGAGAGAAAAGAGAATTTGGATAAAACTCAAGAGGCTCTTTAGGTGTGCAATTATTTTTTGCATCTGAATTGAATAGTTTTATTGCCATTTTCTTTCACTTTTCTCTGGAGAGGTTGGAACATTTCTCATTTGATTCTGTCCCTTCACATGGATGTGATCTCAGACATGTTCTGGATGAAGATAGGTGTGCTGAGCCCCTGAGTAGTAATGTTTCTGCCATATTGGGATGGGGCAGGCAACAAGTTAAGGTAGAGATGATACCTCCTCAAGGTCCAGTGGTACCTATCCCCCACTGCTTCAGCTCTGCCCACCCTTAGGGCCCTGCCACAGAGGTACCCCACAGCCAGAACAATACCTACAGTCACATATCACCTCTCCTGGAAGCAGATTTTATCAGAAAAACTTAGCAATGTGCTTGCCTGTTAGATACCAAAAAGAATGGTGGTGAAGGAGGACCTACTATATATTCATTGGAGCTGACATCTTCCAAGGAGATTAAATGAGATAATTCATTCAACAACCTGGTATGAGAAATGTTTTTCTCCTAATTTTTGCAGATGAGGAAAGAGGCTCAGAAGTTCAAGTGCCTTAATCCCAGAAGTGAAAATATAAATATCAAATGGCTCTTAGAATCCTAAATCCGCCCCTTCCAACTAAAATCTTTTTTTCATTTTTATTTTTTTTATCTCTTTTAAATGTTTATTTATTTTTGAGAGGTGAGGGAGGGGCAGAGAGAGAGGGAGACACAGAATCCAAAGCAGGCTCCAGGCTCTGAGCTGTCAGCACAGAGCCTGACATCAGGCTGAGCCAAAGTTGGACATTTAACTGACTGAGCGACCCAGGTGCCCCTAAAATCTTTTTTTTTTAAATATATGAGCCATGAACAAATGAACAAGTAACTAAATTCTGAAACGAAGGCATTTAATTTAGTTGTTCTGTGTGTTTCTCTGCTTTGTTTTCATATAGGATTAAGTCAGGTTAATACTAACCTTAAATTGAGACTTGAAAAGAAAATGACTTGAAAAGCTTATTGTCCCTGACCCCCAAGTTTTAATGAGGAATAACTTATATGCAATACAATTCAATGAATTTTGATGACTGCATATAGTCATGTAACCATCACTGCAATTAACATATAGAACATTTCCATTTCTCTAAAACATTCTCCACATGCCTCTTTGCAGCTGAATTCCTCCTCTGGCCCCCAGCCCCAGGCAACCACCATTCTTCATTTTATTGCTCTTGTTTTGTCACCAGCCTTTTTCAGTTTCCTTTCCTGCCTCAGGGCTTTTGCACATGCTGTTCTTTCTGCAAGAAGGCCCCCTCTCATATCATATACTTGTTTTCTCCTGGCTAATGTCTGTTCACTTTTCATATTTTAGCTTAAATGTCACTTCTGCAGAGAAATTTGCTTGATCCTCTTTTATTACCATGCCCACACTAAAAGATTTATAGCTCTTCTTTCTTCTCCTCCATGTCAACATGGTATACATTATGTATTATGGAGGCAGGTATTTGATTACTATATGTCCCCTCACTATACTTTAAGCTCCATGAATGGAAGGAACATTATATTCATCATTATATTCTCAGTTCATTGTTCATCATCATTCATATATCATCTATGTTCTTGGAACATAGTTGGTGGACCTCACAAAGTTCTTAAATGAATTAATTGAACAAGTGGTTTAATCTACATAAAAATTCTGTCAAGTCTTTCATAGTGCCAGTGGAACCTCTACCTCCTTGTCACCTTCACCTGTTTATCTCAGTACTGTCTACTCTGCACCTGAGGTGTCCAACACACATTTCACAGTGAAAAAACTCTAGGGTTCAGTTTACCTGAAACTTTTAGCAACACAATTAAAAAGAAAAATCAGGGGGGCGCCTAGGTGGCGCAGTCGGTTAAGCGTCCGACTTCAGCCAGGTCACGATCTCGCGGTCCGTGAGTTCGAGCCCCGCGTCGGGCTCTGGCCTGATGGCTCGGAGCCTGGAGCCTGTTTCCGATTCTGTGTCTCCCTCTCTCTCTGCCCCTCCCCCGTTCATGCTCTGTCTCTCTCTGTCCCACAAATAAATAAACGTTGAAAAAAAATTTTTTTTAAAAAAAAGAAAAATTAGGTAGCACATATGAGCCATAGGTCGATACAGAATAACCATTTTACAAAATGGTAGGAGATGGGGCAGGAAGGTAAAGGATAAGCAAAGTATGGAAGCTGGGACTGTCTTCTTCTCCTTGATTTTGGTTGCCCGCACTATGGTTCTGGTTGTCCATTTAGACTAGAAGTCTTGAGTTTGACTGTGGAGAGGGAGGAAGAGATGGGGGAGTGTGACTCAGGATTCTGGGTGTGCTGCATAAAACCACTGTTTGATGATGATGACCATGATAATGATGTTGGTGGAGAGATAGGAGCAGTACAGGTAGTGGAAGGAAAAGTTATGCTAA